GGGGGGGAGGGAGGCGGAAATCAATAGCATCCCCTCCTTCCCTCCCCATCCAAGCAACTCTTAAAAGTCCTTTCTGTTGAAAAGGTCTCACAATTTTGGCATAGGGCTGCCATACACTGTATCACCTTTATTCTGAGTTAGCCAGAAACTTAATTTTCATATGGCAGGGGCTTTGAATAATCAACATTTTGAAGTTGCAGTATTTCCATCAGAAGGCACTGTCTTCACATTACTCCCATGTGCTGTATCTTTATGAAAAAAGCTAACACCAACAAGTTTCCAAAGAATGCTTCTCACGATATCAAGTGTTATCTGCAGCAAAACCTGTAAAATTAAACTGGCAAATCTTCTAGGTAGTCCCATCCCTGAGCTCTTGAAACTCAAAAGCTTACAGACAACTGGGGCCTAATACACCTTCTCTGTGAAGCATTTTCTCCAGTAACTTAATAGCCTTTAAGTACCTTCCAGGCAAAGCTACTTTTGTTAACTACAAAAACCTTACTTCCAGGCACCTGAGTAAGCAAAGTTATATTGTATCCAAAACTCAAAGGTAATGCGACAATCGATGCATTCTTTCCAGAAGGACCTTACACAGAATAGTTTGCTACAAAAAACTTCATGGTACAGGATACAGGTAACCCAGATCACTTGGTTCGTAAGTAAAATGGACCTGCCCTCTCAGATTACAATAGTGTATTATCTCCAGAAAAAGATGGTTTAACTAGCTAAAATATCCAACCATGCTGGGAAAATAACGTTCAAAAGGACACAAATCAATATAAAGTAAAGACACTGAACATGGCTCAGTTAGAGGCTAGATAAGCATATTTCACGTCCTCTTTGCTGGTCTTAAAATCATTTTCTGAACAGTACCAAGGCTTTATTTTCCTCTCCCATTTCTGCACCCTGCCCCATCCTCTCAGAACAGTCCCAACCTTCATCACACACCTCATTCAGTCTACATTTCTGCTAGAAACAAGAAAAAACAATTATTTTTACTTAGTACAGCCTTTCACCTGCAGTATTAGGCAGCCAGTCGTATTAAATAGAACCTGTCTTTATTTCCCATTAATAACAGGTATTTGAAGATCAGAAAAAAAAAATAAAGTTCCTGATGATGTTCTGAGAATACAAAAAAGTGTTGAAAAATTGCTACACCTTGTTCAAGTCACAAACAACAAGGATACGTTTGATCACTGCTGTTATAACAGAAAATTAGGAAAGTAAAATTTTTTCCATTACGCTCAGCACTCAACTCCTTAAGTAATTTATTGTGCTTAAGGAGTTATTTCGCTAATATGGGGATGAAGAAGGTAGCAAAAAGCTCAGAATTAATCCATCAGACAGAAATAGTCCAAGTTTCGTTACTCTTTTCTCCTTAAAGCTAAGGTTTTTTTAAATAAAAAAGGCAGTAGTCTCACCTGGGAGGATCGTCTTCCTTTCCTCTTGTAGTCTTCAACATCTCTTTCTTCCTTAAGAGCAGCCATTTTGGAAGGGTACTCTGAATCAGCCTTTCTTTTAAATCTAGGAAACCTAGAAAACAGGTTGGATAAGTCAACAGTTACCCCAAATCCTAGGAAACAGGGCCTTCTCTGGCTGGAACAAATGGGTGTGGGTTTACAGAAGAAAATGGAGGAGGGATAAAATTAAATTATAAATATATAAAAGGGTACAGTAAAAATCCTCAGCCTATTTTGCTCACAGTTAAGAAGAGCTGCAGAAGGAACATCTGCTATTCTACTAAAGGTCTGTTTATAACTGTGAGAATAACTAGGAACAATCTAAAGCTTAAATCTGTAGGAAAAAAACTATGTTAAACGTTGTTTTACATAACTATCACAAATACAACTGGTACAGGGCAAGCAAATTCCACTTTCGATACCCAAATCCAAATTAAATTCTACTTCTCTAGATTCTATGCCTGAAATATTTAACGTTTTACAAACAAGGCTTATTAACAGCAATCTTATAGCATGGCGTACTGCTATCAGTGACCCAGCAGCTTACAGAACTGGAATACTAGAGCATGCATTAGAAGTTTTCTGCAGTGAAAAATATTTTCCTTTAAATATCAGCACAATAATTTTTTTTATTGATTTGGTTCTTGCAAGATTATGAACTTTAATAGCTGACCACTAGTAATCTATAATATAGTACTGGTCAACTGGCATGGTACTTTGCTTCCAAATTACGTATTTAATTACTCCCCAGTGCTCTATTTACATACCTAACTGCTCACAATAAAGATGTTAACATATTTATGTAACATGTTATTGCAAAAGGAAGCAAGTATTTCACAAAATAAGCTTAGTTAATGAATCCACATGTAAACATTCAAACAAAAAAAGCCCGTTCCCTTTAATCTTAAAAAGTTTACTCAGATCATTATGTTATTTAGTTTGCCTCATATTCTGTATTAATATCTTTGGCAACAGTTCGTCATTAATTTGGATGTTGCTTAAAATTTATTACAACAGCCAAAGTAGAACACAGTTTAATGAAGAACACGCTACTGTAAAGCTACATTTATGCTGCATGAAAGTCACTGAGATTCACAAAACTAGGTGCATTTTCTTTTAAGTTTTATTCCTGCAAACACTATATTGGGAAAAGCAGGCAGGTCTCTTAATGACCAGTATGCACTCTTCTTTAGAGTGAAAACTATTATTTAAAATAATTCCATGCTAAAATACAGCCTCAAATTAAGATCTTCAAATTAAATCCAGTTGCAAAATCATGAGCATCACGATTAACAATTTTTGAAGCTTTTGTGAAGTGACATAAAAGAAGACTTTTGTATACTAGACTAAATGAAGACTTTTGTCTACTACAAAAGTGTTAAGCCTGCTCTTGAAATCCTTCAAACCGAACACTAGCAAAAGGAGAGCAGTCAGGGTAATTTCCTAATACTTGCTGAGCTGTTCAACTCCTTAAAGTATCCTGGGGAGGTATCAAACAGAAAACTGACAAGTCAAGAGCTTCTGAAAAAATACCTGTATGGCAAGAGAAACCTTTGGGAGAGAAGGGACAAGCCTATTTAGGTATCTACTGAAGACATGAAGAGTATGCAGTCCCTCTCTCATACTGTCACCTGCTGCTTTCCCCAGTGGGACTCCATGTTGGCCAGCATAAAGCTCATAAGCATGATCTCTTTTGCCCATCTGATCTTCAGAGGCCATCATAGCAGAGAATTGTCTCACTGCTAATGCATACTATTAACTAAAGGGGAACACAGCCCTATTACTACTTTTTATTACAGAAATTTAAGACATCTTTATACTATTATTTTATACTTCATATCAACAAAATACTGTATTTAAAATATTCAGAACATTTTTATCAACTGAGTTAAACTAGTATTGAAACAGTTGTGCACTACAACTTAACCACAAAACTGAAAGTAATCTCAGAAGCAATTTGCTAGCTATAGTGAACAGAAAGCCACCAGGGAGGGGATGCCTCATTACTCAAAGGAATTTATAATCCTACTCTATCTCTTACAGAGGCAATAAGTAAGACAGTAGAGGGGAAACAGACATTCCCAAGATGAAAGTTTACCTGTCCATTCAGAGAATACTATGGAGATGTATTGGTCTTTTTTGTAAATAGCTAAAGTTGGACCTAACGTGCATACAGTATATCGTGCCAAACCTAAGAGTTAAAGCAGCAAAACAATAGATTTTCAGCTCTAAGTGTGTTGGCAGTTTATTCCCAACGCCAACAGGAACGTCTGCTGGGAAAAAAACAAGAAGATATTAGCTTAATAACTTATGTGATGGGTTTCCAAACTTTATTGATGCATGTTCAAATGCTCTGAAGTCATCATCCCTCCCATTTGTCAAACTATGCAACAACCCTGAAGCAACTAAAACAATTGCTTACATGGAAAGTGGAGTTATTTTTAGCTGTTTTGCTAAGGGATCCAGTTTCTTCTCTACTTTTAAGGCAGCAACAGAAGCTAGTGTGAGCTGTTGGTTTCTATGTTCTTGATTCTACAAGCTTTCAGCTTGCAATAAAGGAAGGGGTCAAGATACCCAAGAAAAATACCCTGAACAATTTCGCTCACCATACATTACTTAAAAGCAGTTGAGCAAAAATCTTTGGTTTTCAGGGAAAAGGAAAAAAACAGAAGGGGATATCTTTACACATCTTCCCTCTGGGTAGGATGCGGATGACTGTCCTAATACAAATTCAGTTGCAATTTCATTCAAGCCGAGAAAACTTTGAACCAAACTTTGCGCCAGACTGCTTCTTTGTGTTGCCTACCAGGATCATGGCGGGAGGCCACTGAATGTCGTGGCTCTTGTGCATGTACGCTTGGGGGAGCTGGGAAAGGAGAAAAGGAAACGAGAAAGCATCTGAGAGCGCTTTGCGGTAAGCCTTTCCCCCTTCCCCGGCCAGCAAGGGCTCGCTACGTGGGTTAACTGCCCTCAGGAAGGGGGGGGGTGGCGGCCCAGCGAGGTGCTGCTACGTGTGCTACTCTTTTTCAGCGAGGAGCGGGGGACGGCCGTACATAACCGTATTGCTTTAAAGTTTCTTCCTGAGAAAAAGGGTGAGAAAACAATACCTCTGG